ATTTTAAAAATACATTTTTAGGTAGCCAACTCCATCATTTGTTTGATTTATGATTTCTAACTTTCCCCACATGAAAATTGCCAAAATATTTGTATATAGTTGTTTTACTTACATTTCTCACATTAAAATTTCTAATCCTTCTGGAATTTATTTTGTTATAAGGTGAAATACAGTTTTGTTTCCAAATAGTTACATAGGTGCCCCATCCCTTTCTTTCACTGATTTGAAATGTCTCTTATATACTAAATTTCTGTGTACATTTGGACTACTTCTAAACTATTTGGTTCAATTAAACTGTCTATTTTATAATTAAAAATATCATATAGGGCAGGTTTTCCTTCATTGCTCTCCCTTTAATATGCTCTCTTACATGTTTATTCTCCTAAGGAAACTTTGTAATCATTTTGTAAAGTACCCCCACCCCCTCAAAAAAAAAAATCACATTGAGATTTTTAGATTTCTTGAAACAAACAGTAAATCTTTTTTTTTTTGGGGGGGGGCCTCTCACTGTTGTGGCCTCTCCCGTTGCGGAGCACAGGCTCCGGACGCGCAGGCTTAGCGGCCATGGCTCACGGGCCTAGCCGCTCCGCCGCATGTGGGATCTTCCCAGACTGGGGCACGAACCCGCGTCCCCTGCATTGGCAGGCGGACTCTCAACCACTGTGCCACCAGGGAAGCCCCAAACAGTAAATCTTGAATGTACATTTAAAACCTCATGATCACAGTTGTCATTTCATTCAAGTCTAATACTCACTAAGGGCATTAAAATTTTTTTTTACTTAGTCCAATCCTATGTAAATAGGTGTTTTATAAATGTATTTTTATGGTGTTCATTGATTCAAAGACCAAAACTTTTTACTCCTAAAACTCAAAGGCATGTTATTTTCTCAATAACAGGAAAATGTATTGTTACCTATGCATATGGTAAAATTTGAATAATTGTTTCAGAGATAGTTTTCATTAAGTTTATATAAAAATGCCCATTATGTTTTTATGTTTGAAAATTCAAAATACTTTTCTTCAATTAGTATGTAAGGCAGACTACTCTCAGATCCCTTAATTACACTAGATATTAAGTTGTGCCCATTTTAGTTCCTTGTTAGTTTATATTTGTATCAGTAATGTTCCCATTACTTGTTCACAGACATTTAAATAGAGGAAACGTCAATCAGAGTCAGAACCATGAAGGCCTTTCTATAAAAGTAGATGCCTGTTAGCCAAAGTTTAGAAATTATTTAATCCACCTATAAAAAACAAATCAGTTTTCAAAGTTTCCTAAATATCTTGGCATAATCTAAGCTTTTTAAGTTAATATAACCAAATTAATGATTCTGTTTCAGTGAAACCAGATATACAATAAGGCTTTAAATCACTTGTAAAACCTTTGACCATGTACAAATAGCCTTTTGATATAAATGGGCATTATGTTACTCATTTATAGAGGAAATTGAGGCTTTGAGGAGTTAATGTCAAATTGTAGGAAGAAAGGAAACTAATATTTTGAGTACCAAATCAACCAAGAGCTTTATTTGGTGTTTTCTCAGGTTATCTTATTTTAAATAAGTAGATAATTTCCTGACAGTAAATGTGATCAAGCTTTTGGTGCATAATGTAACCACATAATATGTCTCCGTCTTACTTATTCCTCCTGTTTGTTTACTTTCTTTATTCAACTGTGATTGCTTACTCAGTTTTTATATAATAAGAATAAGCCCCTATATCCGGCTTTTGATCAGATGTCTAGGTATCTGTGTTTGATTATAATAATGATCTTGATCATTTTTCTTTGTTTTTTAGATTCCTGAATTTGATAACTTATACCTGGATATGAATGGAATTATACATCAATGTTCCCATCCTAATGATGATGATGTTCACTTCAGAATTTCAGATGATAAAATCTTTACTGATATTTTTCACTACTTGGAGGTGTTGTTTCGCATTATTAAACCTAGGAAAGTGTTCTTCATGGCCGTTGACGGTGTGGCTCCTCGAGCAAAGATGAACCAGCAGCGTGGGAGGCGTTTTAGGTAAAACATTTGTGGTTTATTTTAGAATACTATTTAGATTAATAAAATGTATTACTTCAAAGGTAATTGACTTAACACAATGCATCTCCCATTCACGTTTCTTTTCTGCTGAAATTTCCCCCCAGAAGTGGAAGTATCTCAGACTTACAATGTCATGTTTTATCGATCAAGTAAATGAATTAGGAATTCAAATGAGGTGTCATTTCTCAACATATATGATGGGTTGTATAAAGTTACTCTGTTGTTCTCTGTCACAAATTTTTCAGACTTCCTAAAACTTGGTAATTTGGAAATGGTAGTGGTAGAGAAAGTTCCTAGAGTATTTCGTCCTGAGCTGTGGAACTGCAGAGTGAACTGAGAGATTGTTCTAATGAGAATATCACTGACATTTAATTTGACCCTGGGCTAGATGCTGACCCTGCTTGAACATGGGTCCCTACTGGGTAGAAAGGCAAATTAGATTAGAAGGTGATGGTTAGTGTATGAGAAGTGAACTGAGTTAGGACACTCAAGATATTATCAGCCCCCAGTGTATGACTTGAGTAGTAGGAGAAGCAAAAGGTTGAAAAGGAGTTGTATACAGAGAGAGGATTTTAAAATCAAAATCCTGGACCTGTGGAATATTTCTAAATAACAATGAAAACATGCAGTGTCCTTGTTATGAGTAACAGGAGTAAAGTTAAGAGGGTTGTTGGAACTGAAGGAAAGAAACCCTGAGTCTAGTGAGTTTGATAGGTCATTAGCCTAATAGATCCTTTCCTTTCATCACAATGGCAGGTAAAGAAGTAGAAAGGGCACCTGTGAATCAGATGTGGAAATCATCAAGGAAGGTGGGAGAGTACCTTGGAGAAGGCTAGCAGTGAGAATGGGAAGAGGATGGTAAATCTACTAATTTAAATATCAAAAGAGAAAGATACTGAAGATATTGGAACTGTGAAATCCTTGAAGACAAGGGCCATCTCTTACTAAAATTTAGATTCTCAAGTACCACCCAAGACTTACTTAATCTGAACCTCTAAAAACTAGGCCCTGGTATTTGTTAAACTAGTTTTGGGGCGCTGCTGGGCTAGATAATCTAGTGTTGAGAAAGGGTTATATAAGCCCACTGTATCAGTCAGTTGCAGGTAATAGAAATTTAACTATTCTGAGCAGAAAGAAATATAATACAGAGAGTTGGGTGCTTATAAAAATCATTGTAAAAGCCAAAAGGTTGTGCATTTAGGTTAGCCTTTAAGAATGACTTCCAGAACAACGCCATAGAACTCACCCACTGATGGTATCACTACTGCAACATTCAGGAAGGTGAGGAGTTCAGAGGCCCTGACCAGAAAAGGTAGTTCTAGGAATTTATTCCTTTAGCTCTGATCCAGAGATTAAGAAGCTAAGTCATATCCAGAAGCCTAGCTGCAGGGAAGCCTGAGAGTTTAATTTTTTTATAGCTTTCTTCCAACCTCTCCAGTATCAGAAGACAGACTAGGAGAGAGGAATGGGCGTCGAGGGCCAGTTGACCCTAACCACCACAAGCATTCGCTCGGTACTGTGGCGGCATCGAGTGTGCCATGTTTCCTCCAAATCCCCCAGTCAGCTTTTCCTCATTCTCCATGGCGACCGTTTTCTTCGCTCATAATCTTTAATCCTCATCACTTCATATCTCTGCCATCTTTTAAATCTGCTGCCATCTGTCTTTCATCCCCACCGTGCCACTGAAACTTCCTTACAAGATTATTAATAGACTCCTTAAAGGGGCTAAATCTAGAGAATAATTCTGTCTTTATATTACTTCATTTATCTCTGGTATTTAGCAGTGTTGACCATTATTTCTTTCTTGAACTTCCTTCCCATGACCTTCAGGTAACTATACTCTATGACCGGGGATTGAACCTGGGCCCCGGCAGTGGAAGTGCCAAGTTCTAACCACTGTACACCAGGGAATTCTTTCTGACTGTACCTTCTTAATCTCCTTGTTATATTCTCTTCCTCTGCTTTGTCTCAAATATTGATGTTTCTTAAGGTTCTGTCCTGGGTCCTAAGATATCTTATCCAATGACTTTAAGTACTGAATCTGTACTGATGACTCCCAAACTTATCTTTCTCGTGGATATCTCTTTCCAGAGCTTGTATACATCCAAATGCCTGCTAAATGCCTCCTCTGTTTACCATAGATACATTTCAGGCTTAGAACTGAACTCATCTTTCCCTCAAACCTGCCTGCCTTCTATGTTTCCGTGAATAACATCATGTAAATAGCTGCTCAACTCCAAAGTCCAAGAGTAATTGGACTTCTCCCTCTTCCTTATTCCTCACATCTAAGTCATATCTACTTACTTCTTTTCATCTTTACTGCTACTGTCTGCCTAGTCCACCATAATCTTCTACCTAGATTAATTTAATAGTTTTGCCTTGCCCCTGTCCCAAACATTCTCTGTATTGCAGCTACATTAGACATTATGGCTGTTTAATTTCTATCTCCCCACTAGAGTGTAAACTCTGAGAAGAGGAATCATTTCTTTTTTGTTGTATCCCAAGAACTTGTCACATAGTAACATTGAATAATCATTTCTTCAGTCAAAGAAGGAAGGGGAGAAAAGAGGAAAGAATGGCTTCCATTGGAGAGATTACAAATGAGTTGATATCTTCAGAGTCTTTGATATATTGAAGAGGTTGGTAAGAGAGACAGGTTAAATACGAAGAAGAGTTTGGTTATCGCAGAAATAGAATTCCACAGGGCAAAGTAGATAGAGCTAATAACAAGGCTGTAGAAAATGTACATAAAGCAGGATTTCCTAACTTGTATGCCATGTGGCATATTTGTGTGCCACACATGGGTTACTGGAGAAGCCAGATTGGAATGGGGATGCCAGTATTCAAACCTGTGTCTATCGGACTCTAAAAATCATGTTCTTCTTAGTAAATCCTGTTGCCTCAAAAATGAGATCATTTTGGCTACTGATGTCATTAATGTTATTAGGCTTTCGCTTTAGGTGTTTTCATGAGGAAACCCAAAGATATACATTACAATTTTATAATTATTTTTATATAATATTCTTAGAGATCATTTTAATGATGTACTTATTTGATATTATTAAATGTAGTGTGTATAATGAATGTTTATGCTATACTTTTGAAATTATTTCTAGAACTAATATGCTGTATATTTGTGATTAGAAAAGAATTACTTTATAATAAGTATTTGTAACATTCTTTGTCAGTTTTATGCTGTTATAATGTTCTACTTCTATAGTCCCTAGCTGAAAAACTCAGTTCTTTAAATAAAAGGAAACAATTCTGAGGCTCATCTTTATTGATTATAGACATTTCAAAACTTATATGTTTTGAACTTAAAATTGATGAATTAGTATTTTAGTTACAAAAACTTCTAAATAACCGTTTACTTTATGTAGAGATCTCTATTTTTTCCAGAAAGTTGAGCACTTCTTTTCCCCCTTAACATTTAAGGTCAGCAAAGGAGGCAGAAGACAAAATTAAAAAGGCAATAGAAAAAGGAGAAACTCTTCCTACAGAGGCCAGATTTGATTCCAACTGCATTACACCAGGTAAATTCACTGAGAGAAAAAGTCTGGCAGATTTAAAATGTAAATGTAAATTTCTCTTTTCTAACCTCTATTTATTTTGTCCTTAGGATTCTATTTGCTGTATTTTCCCAGTTATGTCTCTTCATGAGATGGTTTGGTCACCTTGGTCATAAATGCCCCTATGGAGACCCACTGTAGGGATTTACAGAAGCTGATAAGGGCACCTATGGACAGGACTCTCCCAGATGCACAAAATTCCTTACCTAGAAGGAACTTACAAGATCAGTCCTACTCCTGCCATTTATTTGTATGAAAGCTGACTCAATGAGGTTGTGGTTCACCCAGGTTCGTAGAGCTAGCTTGTATTCAGGAGAAGAAACCCACTTTCCTTGTCTAGAGTGCTTACTCTTCTTCTCAGAGGCTGTTAAGATTTCTGTGACTTTAAGGAAGAATTAATTTATCAGTATTACAAGTTTAATCTTATATGCAACAGCACAGTCTGCCCTTCCTAGAGTTTTGTCTAACATCATTATAATTCTTTACATTGAAAAAAAATCTTACAATCGTACTATCTCATTAATTTTTACTATAGTAGTTTTCTCTTTCATTAAGTCCCCTAATGACACATTGCCCAATTTAATAACCAGTTTTATTGTTATACAGATTAAGACTTATTGCCTTTGACTATTGACTATCTGGGCTTTTCCTGAAACATAATCATTGTAGACTCAGTTTCCAGATTAATAGTAATTTTTCAGGTTAAAAATAGTAATGATAATAGTTGTTATTGGCAATCTTATTGAAGCTACATGCCTTAAAAAAAAACAAAAACAAAAAACTTTAGAATCCAGCAGAGAAATAGAAGATTGAAGTTTGTTGGAGTGTTGAAACCCTGCCCTTGTGTGAAAATATTTGAAGCATAGTCCTGAGGCAGCAGTAACATTCTTTGAATTTCCCCATCTGACATTAACTTCATTTTGGGGTGCCTGGTAAAATTGGAAATAGTTGTGATATTTGCTTGGGAAAGATACAACATTACTTGCTTTTCAAGATAAGCAAGAGAGCTTTCGACCTCCTTGGGAGATCTTATACCTAGCTATTCCCTGGATACCCAAATCCAATTTCACGTTGTCACTGGGAACTCAATGTTTTTATATCTCTCTCAGATTAAATTTTTAAAAACCTTTTATTTTTAGGGACTGAATTCATGGCCAGGTTACACGAACATCTGAAGTATTTTGTAAATATGAAAATTTCTACAGACAAGTCGTGGCAAGGAGTTACCATCTATTTCTCAGGCCATGAGGTTATTATCTTATTTTATTTAAAGAGTTTTTTAAATTTAATCTTGAGAAACATAGCATATTACCACATGTTTTTTAAACATTATATTTAGACTCCTGGAGAAGGAGAACATAAAATCATGGAATTTATCAGATCCGAGAAGGCAAAGCCAGATCATGATCCAAACACCAGACACTGTCTTTATGGCTTAGATGCTGACTTGGTAGGTATAATGTTTATTGTATTATAATCTTATGCCATTGTAGTTAAAATATCTAGGAAACTTGGTCTTAATAAAAGAAGATTTCTGGCTTCTCTGGTGGCGCAGTGGTTAAGAATCCGCCTGCCAATGCAGGAGACACGGGTTCGAGTCCTGGTCCGGGAAGATCCCACATGCCGCGGAGCAACTAAGCCCGTGTGCCACAACTACTGAGCCTGTGCTCTAGAGCCCACGAGCCACAGCTACTGAGCCTGAGCTCTAGAGCTCGTGTGTCACAGCTACTGAAGCCTGCGCGCCGAGAAGTCACCATAATGAGAAGCCCGCGCACCGCAACGAAGAGTAGCCCCCGCTCGCGACAACTAGAGAAAGCCCACACGCAGCAATGAAGACCAAACGCAGCCAAAAAAAAAATTTTAAGTAAAAAAAATTTAAACATTTAAGAAGATTTCAGGCTGTGGGAACAAATATCGGAGATATAATAATGATTGCTACTTCTGCTATTACCAAAGTTCTAAAACATTTGGAAAAGGAGTTCTTTTGCCATAGTTTATGATCAACAGGTCTCTATAGTTAGTGTTCACACCTGACTGACCCTAGTGCTATGAATACTCTGCTGAGGTCAGGATAGAGGGCCCTTTTTACCCTCATGCTTAATACACGATTTTTAATACCACCTGATCTGATGACTCCATAACCCAAGTTTGCTAGACTTTTTTTGTTTTAACTTTCTATTACAGAAATTTGCAAATATAAACAGATGTAAAGGAGAGAGCATAATGAACCTTCTTGTGTCCTTCATCTGTCTTCAGTAACCTTCAGCTCCTTTCCCTAATCATCTGTCTCCTTCTTCCTCCTCCCCTGGATTCTTTTTTTTTTTAAGACTTTTTTTCTTTTTTTTTAATAAATTTATGTATTTATTTATTTTTGGCTGCGTTGGTCTTCGTTGCTGCGCGTGGGCTTTCTCTAGTTGCGGCGAGCGGAGGCTACTCTTTGTTGCGGTGCGCAGGCTTCTCATTGCGGTGGCTTCTCTTGTTGCAGAGCACGGGCTCTAGGCACATGGGCTTCAGTAGTTGTAGCACGTGGGCTCAGTAGTTGTGGCTCGCGGGCTCTAGAGCACAGGCTCAGTAGTTGTGGCGCACGGGCTTAGTTGCTTCAGGGCATGTGGGATCTTCCCAGACCAGGGCTTGAACCCGTGTCCCCTGCATTGGCAGGCAGATTCTTAACCACTGTGCCATGAGGGAAGCCCATACCCTGTATTCTTGAAGTATATGACATGTGTTATTTAATCTATAAATATTTAATGATGGAGAATATTAAAAATAATGATAACCCCAATGACATCCCACATAAAACAAAAATTAACAAATCACTGTTTAATATATAAATAACCATTTAATATTCTCATTTCCCTGATTGCTTCATAAATGTTTTATTTTGTTTGAATCAGGATTAAATGAAAATAAACAATATACATTGCAGTTGGTTGATATGGCTCACTAGACTGTTTGACTTACTTTGGGGATTAGAATACTATGTGAGAATATTAACTGAAAATATCCTTTTCCAGTTTTTTCTGAGTTTTCACACACTAAAGTTATCTTGGCCTCCAGAAGAGTCCTGTATTCTTCTGTCATGGAAATGCTGTTGCCCTAATTCCTTACCCATTCCTCCGTGGCAAGTGGAAAGGTGTAAAAACCAAGAAAACATTTTTGGGATTTTTTTATGGGGGTACAGTGAGGTGGTTATAAAGGTTATGTGAGTCTAAAGTGAACATTTTTTTCTTAGAAAAGTACACAGAATTTACCCAATTTATAACCTATAGATGTATCATATTTTGATATTTATACATTTAATTTGCTAATGAATTGTTTATTTTCCTTAAATAAGTATGTTCTCTATATAGAAACTTTTTTGATTGCTTTTGTGAACCCGATGCTGTAAAAAATGAGAGAATAGAAACATTTCTTCATCATTTTTCAACAGATTATGCTTGGATTAACAAGTCATGAGGCACATTTCTCTCTTTTAAGAGAAGAGGTTCGGTTTGGTGGCAAAAAGACACAAAGGTAAATCATACTGCCTATATATCAGAAGGTAGAACAGAAATAAAATTAGGAATAGTAATCTCTTAACAGGTATATGACCTGTAAATATTTTCTCCCAGTCCGTGGGTTGCCTTTTCACTCTGTTGATAGCGTCATTTGATGTACAAAATTTTTAATTTTGATGAATTCCAATCTATTTTTTTCTTTTGTTGCCTGTACTTTTTAGTGTAATATGCAAGAAATCATTGCTTTAAAAAAAAAAAAAAAAAGAAATCATTGCTGAATGCAATGTCATAAAGCCTTTTCCGATTTTATTCTAAGGGTTTTATAAGTATTAACTCTTAACATTTAGGTCTTTGATCATATATGTTGAGTTAATTTTTATATGTGGTGTAAGGTAATGGTCTGTCTTCATTCTTTTGCATGTGGATGTCCAGTTTTCTGAACAACATTTGCTGAAAAACTGTCTTTTCTCCATTGAATGATCTTGGCTCCCTGGTCAAAAATCACATGACCATATATTGCAAGGGTTTGTTTCTGGGATCTGTATTCTATTCTGTTGGTCTATATGTCTGTCTTTATGCCAGTACCACAAGTATTTTGATAACTGTAGCTTTGTAGTAAGTTTTGAAATCAGGAACGGTGAGACCTCCAACTATATTCTTCTTTTTCATGGTTATTTTGGCTGTTCGGGGTCTCCTGAGGTTAATAATTTTTAAGATAGGTTTTCTGGGTTTTTTGTAAAAAAGTTGGAATTTTGATCAGAACAGCATTGAATCTATAGATCCCTTTGGGTAGCATTCACATCTTGATATCAAGTCTTCCAGTCTGTTAATATAAAATGTCATTCCATTCATTTATGTCTTCTTTAATTTCTTTCAGTTTTATAGTTTTAGTGTACAAGTCTTTTGCCTCCTTTCTTCTTCTTTTTTTTCCTTTAATTGAAAATAATGTTTTTAAATATAGTTACCTGCTGTGCATTACATCCCCAGAGCTTATTTATCTTATAACTGGAAATTTATACCTTTTCACCGCCTTCACCCATTTCACCCACCCCCATCCCCTACCTTTGTGAATCATCAGTCTGTTCTCTGTATCTTTGATTTCAGTTTTTTTGCCTCTGGCTTTTTCTTTTGCTTTCTTGGTCAAGTTTATTTCTGAGTGTTTTATTCTTTTGGATGGTATTGTAAGTGGAATTGTTTCTTAATTTCCTTTTTGGATTGTTTATTGCTGGTATGTAGAAACACAACTGATTTTTGTGTTGACCTTATACCCTGCACCTATGCTGAATTCATTTTTTAGTGCTAGTATTTTTTTTTTTTTGTAGATTCTATGGGATTTCTACATATAGAATTATACCATCTGTAAATAGAGAGAGTTTTACTTCTTCTTTTGCAGTTTGGATACCTTTTATTTCTTTTCTTGCCTACTTGGCCTGGCTAGACTTCCAGCATAATGTTGAATAACTATAGTGAAAATGGGCATCCTTGTCTTGTTACTGATCTTAGGAACAAGAATTCCTTTCCTTGGGAGGAAAGCTTTCAGTCTTTCACCATTGATTATGATATTAACTGTGGATTTTTCATAAATTCCCTTAATCATATTAAGGAAATTCACTTCTGTTCCTACTTTGCTGAATATTTTTATCATGAAAGAGTG